TATAGGAGTAGTATTTATATATTGACAAAGATCTGATATGGTCTTTCGTCAGAAGTCAGAAGTCAAAACTCTAAACGTTGTTGTGCGAAGCAACCTTCCAATCGACTCCAACTTGCACATGTCAAATCCATTCCCCCTCCCCCTTTTTTTTGGGGATAAAAACGGAAAAGAGTTCAAAATTAAAAAAGTTTAAAAATACTCTTCATTCATTTATTGGGTTAAAAATATCCCTTCATCCGCTATTTTGGTTCTCTTATACCCTTTAACCGTTAGGTCAATGCTAAATTAAAAATAATTATTATTCTTTTTGAAAAACTTACAAAAACAAATTGTAAACTATTTTTGTTTTTTTAAACTAATGCACCAATAGTCCACTAATTTAGTAAAGTCTTCTTATTTTATTTTTTCAGTTTTTATAAAAAATGATTCAGTTTTTACAAAAAAATATTTATTTTTTCAATTTTTTTGTAAAAACTGGAAAAAAATTGTAAAAACAAGAAAAATATATTTTTAATAAAATATTTTCATTTTTTAAAAATTGAAAAAAATATTTTCAACAAAATATTTTGTTTTTGAAATTTTGTTTTTCATTTTTTTCAGTTTTTTTAGAGCATTTCGTTTTATTTTCATTTTTCAGTGAAAAAAAACTGAAATAAATGTAAAAAAATCAAAAACAATAATATCTTTTTCAGTTTTTAAAAAACGAAAATATTTTATTAAAAATATTTTTTCTATTTTTACAATTTTTTTCAGTTTTTACAAAAAATAATGCTTTAAAAATCTGGAAAAAATGAAAAAAAAAATTGTAAAAACTGAATTGTTTTTTGTAAAAACTAAAAAAAATAAAAAGATGACTTTACTAAATTAGTGGACTATTGGTGCATTAGTTCAAAAAAACGGAAATATTTTGCAAAATATTTCTTTAAGTTTTACAAAAAGAATAATGATTATTTTTAATTTAGCATTGACCTAACGGTCAAAGGGTATAAGTGAACTAAAAAAGTGGTTGGAAGGGTGTTTTTAGCCCAATAGATGGATGAAGAGTATTTTTAAACCTTTTCCAATAATTTAGGGACATTTAGAACCCTTTTTCACGGGATAAAAGTGATGTTTGGATCAGTTCGTATATCATATTATTCCACTAGATATTTATTATTTTTCTAGTATAAGTGTCAGAGTAAAAAGAAATTATTGTATTATTATTTTATTGCTACATAATTCTATCTATAAATAAGAAAAAACTCTTAATATTTTTTTACGTATGCTAAAATTTAAATCCTAAGGGGTTGTTTGATTGGGAAATAAGTTATCCAGGAATTAATTATCTCACTCTCCCATAAGGATAAAAAAAATACTACAATTCCAGAATATTAATTCCGGAATTAGTTATATATACCATAATTTTATCCTAATCAACAACAACAACCCAGTATAATCCCACTTAGAATTTTATCCTAATCAAACGTGGGATAAATCAATTTCAAATTTTATTCAGAATTTAATTATCCTTTATACCAAACGAGCCCCGAGAAAAGAGGAAATCAGTAAAAACTATGATAAATCAAGACATTTTCACAAGTCATTTAAATCAAGTGGTCGTGCAATCTTATAAGGCGCAGAGAGTCCAAAGAGTAATTCTTATAGATATATTCTATCGAATGAATACCCTAAAACCCCCTAAACTATCATTTTTTTGTCAGTTACCTACTTAAACTATTCGGTGTCTCCAAAATCCCCACTTAATTATATACACTTGTATATTAAAAAATCGAAAAAAGGTCTGATATGTCATCTATCACTACAAATTGTTTAAAATTGTTCCCGTTATACTATCGGACCATAAAATTCCTTACCGTCTTACTATCCGCACACATTTATCCTTAAGTGGACGGAGGGGAACGAGGCACTCATCCGTGCCTTTTTTTACATCTAGTAACATTAGACTCGACCCGATCCATATTACCCCTTACCCAAACCCGTAAAAACCAACAAGCAAATTCAAGAATTTCAATGGGATCTGGCGAGGTTCTATTTTCCGACGAACTTCAAAAAATACAAAACCTCTGAGTTTTTAGATCCAATAAATTGGACAGAAGAAAAAGAAAATAAGTAGAAGAAAATGAAGGAAGGGGGTAAGGCACTGGTATTTTTTTATTTTTTTGAAAAAGATAACAAAAGTAAGGCAGTGGTGTTTTGGCCAAGATCTGTAGTAGATCTTGCCGATTTTCATAGTGGTTATAAAATGAAGAAGGAAAGCAGTGAGAGAGAGTTGAGATAGTCAGTGGTGTTGGCTTTGTGTATTTTCTGGCGAGTTTCACCGGTTCCATTTGCTTATTTGGTGGAACGGGTTTGTTGTTTGGATGATGGAACATGAAGAAAAAGAAGAGAAGAAGGGAGATGAAGAAGGTGGCAGTACAGTGGAGGTTAGTACTATCAGAGGAATTTTTCGGTGAGCTGTCATGTTTTTCAGTGGTTTTGGTGTGAGGTGAGAGAAGAGAAGATTAATCATTTTTTGAGTTATATTTTACGATTTTGGCTATCGGGTAATATGGTATCGAGTCGAGTCTAATGATACCAGATGTAAAAAAGGTACGGATGAGTGTCACATGTCCCCTACGTCCACTTAACGATAAATGTGTGCGGATAGTAAGACGGTAAGGAGTTTTATGGTCCGATAGTATAACGGGGGACAACTTTAAACAATTTGTAATAGTAGAGGGACATATCATACCCTTTTTCAATTAAAAAAACCCTTGTCGACTTTTTAGTGGTGAGTGTGATTCATCCTTCTATTTACTTAGCCTAATCTGATATATCAATTTAATTAGTAATTTTAACTAATAATAAAAATAATTAAATGTGTGAAGGGATAAACACATGGTCATCTGTAAAAAAAAAAAAAAAAAAAAAAAAAAAAAAAAAAAAAAAAAAAAAAAAAAAAAAAAAAATCTCTTCTGTCTCCTCTGATAATGGCTACACCATGTCCCAATGTGATCTCCATCATTAAACTTCGACTAAACAATAGATTTTTTTATTAGCCTTCGTTTTCAAGGGGAATTAGTTTAATACGAGATTTGGGATAAAAAAATTAGGGTTTTGTTGAAAGAAGAAAACCTAAATGAAGAAGAAAAATAATTTTCAAACGAACAAGAGAAGAAAAGAATTTCATATGAAACCCATAAAATTAAAGGAAGAGAAAAAAATGAAGAAGAAGGCTAGAATACAAAGAAAATAGAGGGAAAATATAAAAATTAAATTTTTAAAGAAGGTAATAGTAATTAACCATTAAAAATGATCAATTGGGGCCATTTTTATGTATAATTTTATCTCTCACGCCTTTTAACGAGTTACCTTACATATTTCATTAAAAAATCGACGAAGGATTTTTTAATATATAGGTGGATATAGTTAAGGGAGGGTTTTAGGGATACCGGATAGTTTAAATATGTAACCGACAAAAACATGATAGTTTAGGGTGATTTTAGGGTATTCTATTTTGACGGCTAATTTTAGAGAATTGGTCAACTTTGTCCGATTTTCATGAAAAGAATTACAAGTTCTCCAATATTTATACTTTAGCCCAAAACTATTACTATATCTCATTTGTACTTTCTTGATGAATATTCTCCCACTATATCTCTCTTTAGAGAAATTATGAAGATATTTTAAAAAAATTGCTTGTTTGAAGAGGGGACTGCCAATTAATCTTCGACACAGTGGTGAGATTGCATGGGTTCAATTCTTTCGGATATGCATACTTTGGTCCTGGACACCAAGGTTAGGCAATCACGCATATAATATATGTATGTGTTGGAACCTAAGGGTATTATCACTTTTAGTCCGCATCAGAAACTATTTACATCTGACAGCCAAAAGTGTATAAATTTTTTCTGTATATGACATACAAAATGTATATATACAAAAAATATACAAATTTTATATATTCTTTCGGCTATTGTTTTTATAGCGGATAGATAGTGTCATTTTTCCGACTTTTGTAACACTCTTTATGGTAAATAGTATTTGCATCGTTAACAAGATATTAGCATTTCTTGGTCAATCCTTATAACTACGTCACACACAAAGCCCACGGCATTTGTCTACTAGGCTATGTTACATTGAGGAGTGCAAAATGCGTGTGCTTGATGTGAATGTCCTTTTTCATATAATGACATTCCCCTCCCTTTTACATTGGATTCTTCTAACATAACATGCACCGAATTTTTGGATACCTGTCAACTTAGGAACCAAAAGTTTTCTTGGTAATCAAACACGACCTCTGTCACACTACACACATCCTAAGATTCGTCATCAGACGTAGAGGCCATTAATAGAACAGCCACTCTCAACTCGTGAAGATTTCTGAAGAGCGCATTGCTTCATTTGAGTTTCTCATACAAGATTGTCAAACAAAATGAAGACAGGCTAGTTCAATGCCAACACTTGTGATCCTGCATGCAATCCATTTCCACTGTCAACAATCAGTATTACAAACAAATAGTAGTCAATGTCCGTATGAGCCTTCTTTCCCGTTTCCACTCCCCAAGTAAGAAAGATACAACTAAAATGAAGAAACCTTCAAAAGATTGAGGCGTCTAATATCTCACTTTGTTGAAAATACAATAAAACCACTCTAAATGAGATGCACATTTCGTGTGTCGCTACAAACCTTTGATATGCATTCAAGAAAATAATTCGGGAAATAGTACGAATCTGAAGCNTTGCATGTGTCGCTATAAACCTTTGATATGCATTCAAGAAAATAATTCGGGAAATAGTAGTATATATTAAAACAAAGGCATCATTGAACTGTTGGACAAAGCTGTCAGTGGTCTCCAATTGCCAATCTAACTACCATAACAATCTTGCAGTTGTCCCCTATAGGACCACAAAACAACAAGAACTCAACCCCGTTTTCGCACTGAAAAATATCATAATCCAAATTTGTTGATGAGTAATATACAACTGCAGGAAAATATAGGTATCATAAGTTTGAAAAGCTAGTCCCAAGCACTAGTTACTCCAGGACCATATCCCCCGCTATAATTGCCATAACCACCACTGCTGTTACCTCCTTCATAGTAACTCACACCACCTCCACCACTTCTACTGTAAGAGGAATCCCTCCTGAAGTCACGCCCACCAAAACGGCCTCCACCAGACCGCCTGTTTCTACCTCCTCCGTATGAACGGCTAGCATAACGAGTCAGCCATTCAGGTACCTCCTGATTAGCTTCTTGCATCAGATCAGCTAGGGGTTTGGCCATTGAAAGATTACCTTCATTAAAGAAAGCAGTTGCTAATCCTGACTTGCCTGCACGACCTGTCCTGCCTATTCGGTGCACATAATCGTCAATGTCATTAGGAAGGTCAAAGTTGATAACATGAGAAACATGAGGGATATCAAGGCCTCGGGCAGCCACATCTGTCGCAACTAAAATTGGGGTATCCCCTCTCTTGAATGTTCTTAGCGCCTGCTCCCTTTCCTGTAAAATAAACCCACAGGTAATGTTGGCTATGAAGCTGCAAAATAGTGTATGCGAGTAATAGTTGGTGCAACACAAAAAATGAACTGAATTAGAAGTACCAGGTACATGTGTCACGTGCCCGAATGCCCCTTTTTCTCAATATATTATACAAATCACTATGCTTCTACAGCTAAAAGTAAAATAGCTACACATGCTTCAGGCACACATTTCAATGCTTTTTATACTCACATGCATACACGTATCTGTAAAAGCAGACAAGAATATTGGATCACCTCATCTTTGTTATATGTTAAATAGACAGTATTGAAATTCAAGCACTGATAGCAAGATATGGCACCATTTAATCACTGTAGTGGAAGCGCAAAACAGTGTAAAAGGTCATATTAGAAGATCGAAGATGAAATTGTTTTGATCTACCTAAAAATACCTAGATCTCGCCTACCTGCTGAGTCCTATCACCATGAATGGCAGTTGCAGGAAACCCATTGATACACAGCCAATGCTCCAATGCATCAGCACCCTTCTTTGTTTCGACAAATACCAAAGTTAGAGCTTGCTGTAGAAAACAATAACACAGTCAAATTGCCAGTCAATTTAAAGCTCAAAGACTCCACTTTGTGTTCCATTATCTATAAATTTTACAATACAACAGAATCTATGTTCAACGAAGCAGCAGCAAATAGGGAAGAGGATGCAATCATGTCAGTGGAAGACACTAAAACATTTTAAGAGAGAAGAGTAATTGCAAAACCAGTCAAACTAAAAGAAAACTCATGCAGAATGAAAATCTACGAAGACTCCAATCTAGGAAATTCAGCATTCATATCTATAGTATGTAAACCAACAAAACCAATCATGGATAGAATGAGCAGCTAATAGTTACCAGGTGGAGAACTTTATCAACAAAAAAAAAATAGTGACCGGGCAGAGAGGTTTTATGCTAGTGCTTGTACACACAGGAAAAGCAGAATGCCAACATTCTCAATTCTCTGCTATGTTCCTAGGATTAGAAATCTTGATTTCTTCTCCATCCAGTCAACTGCTTGAAGTTCCTCAAATGTGATCAAAGTAGATGAAAATAACTGTTAAAGCAAGAGAGAGCTAGCGTAACATGCTACCTTGCCATGAACCCCATTAGCCATCTGTGCATGCAGTAGGTCCATAAGATGGCTTCTCTTATCACCATCATGAACAAATTCAACTCGCTGAAGAATCAAATCAGTACTCGAACCAACCCGTCCAACTGCCAAAAATATGTAGTTTGCAAGAAAATCAGATGCCAGTCTCTGCATTCCACAAAAAAAAAAGGAGGGTTAGAGTCATATATAAAACAAGACTATGACTGCTCGGAAGACTTTACTCACTGCAAACTCAACATTTTGCAAGGCATATTTTCTACAATTGCAAAAAGAAAGGTGGCATAGTGTACCAAACAATAACAAGAAAAATTGGCATATTAGAATTCAGCAAGCAAGGAATTGGATGGAGGAGTGGGTTGGAGAAAGAAAAAGAAAACGTTGGAAAATTTAGTAAAAGTACAAAGAAGCACAAACCATGCTTTAAGATGATGTGCGTAATTCCAAAAGAAAATGCAAGTAGCAAACACTATAGTAACAAATAATAACGTTGATTGAAAACAGCCCTAGTGACTACAAGAAAAACCTGAATCTCCTTTGGGAATGTGGCACTGAACAGCATAGTCTGCCTTTCACCAGGTCGAGGCATATCCATTTGCTCCACTATCCTTCTGATTTGAGGTTCGAATCCCATGTCCAGCATACGATCTGCCTCATCAAGAGCTAAATATCTAATCATCTGTAATGAAACTTTTGCTCTCTCAAGTAAATCAACCAGTCTTCCAGGAGTTGCCACAAGAATATCAACTCCTCTCTCAAGCTCTCGGAGCTACAGATATGTAACAAGCAATTATTTGAGCAATAGTGTAAAATACAACTTTATTTTAATGTTGAAGAAAGTACTATTTTATTGACATTGTAGGAGAAACAACATATACAAGAGGTGTACCAAAAAGTAGAGAATTTACACAACTTCATCAACAAGCAGAAAATCGACACGAAACACCACTTTATATTCGAAGGTTCAGGCTTTGAGAGCAAATCTAACAATGAAATCACCAGTCAGACAACTGAATATTTCTCAACACTTCTACCGATGTTCTGAAACCTCTTTCCAGGGTGGGTTTCAAATCACCACAGTCAAACAACTGAAAATATCTCAGCATTTCTACCGACGTTCTGAGACCTCTTTCTAGGGTGGGTTTCAAATCACCATTGTCAAATAACTGAATATTTCTTAATACTTCTACTGAGTGCTGACATTCTAGGACCTCTTTCCAGGGTGGGTTTCAAATCACCATTGTCAAATAACTGAATATTTCTTAATACTTCTACTGAGTGCTGACATTCTAGGACCTCTTTCCAGGGTGGGTTTCACTTCGCCGGCATACCAAATAAAAGTAATATTACTAGATTTGATTGTTTCAAGTCTCCAAAACTACTTTTCAGTGTATGACTTTAAAGTCCAACTACAAAACATTGCACACTTTCTCTTTCCTGATTACTTACAGGAAGAAAAGAGGAGAGAGAAGGGCAATACTTGCTCAAACAGCTGAAAACATGAAAGAATATAATGATACCCAATTGACAACATGCCAAAACCATTAGCTCTTATCACAACAATTTTTTGACAAAATCTAGACACTTGCTTGGCAAAGGAAGGTCATTTCCAAAGAGAATGTATGGAGATGGAAAGTAAAAGAAGGAAAAAGGAGATATTCAAAGTTGTGCGAATTATAGTGGCATTAAACTCAAGGAGTCATACAATGGAACTCCGAGAAAGACTAAAGAGTAATAGAGCCTAGATTTAGGACGCGACAAAAGTGCTAAGAAGTTTGATGGAAATTTATCGCGAAAGGAGGAAAGATCTACACATGGTGTTCATTGACCTAGAGAAGCATATGATTGAGTACCACAGAAGCTTCTTTGATGGATGAAGGAGAAGAAATAAATTCATATTAAATATACAAATGTCATATATGAAGGAGTTGTCACTAGCGTCAAAATAGTAGTAGAGGATACAAAGGAGTTTCCCATAACAATGGGTTTACACCAAAGCTCTGCATTGAGCCCCTACTTATTTACCCTAGTTATGGATGAGCTAGCCAACAAAATACAAGATGAGATCCCATGGGACATGCTATTTGCTGATAATCTTGTAATAAGTGCCAAAACTAGCGAGGGTGTCAACCGAAAGCTTGAGCTATGGAGAAACACCTTAGAGAGTAAGGGCTTTAAGCTAAGTAGATGTAAGACTGAGTATATGCACTGCAATTTTAGGTAGCATGAAAAGAGCGAAGTTGAGATGAAACTAGATAGAACTATAGTGCCAATTTTTTTTTAGATATCTAGGCTCGTTATTTCAAGAGAATGGAACAAATAGATGAAGATATTATTAAAATCAAATGGTTGAAATGGAGAAGTGCTACCGGGGTGTTATGTAATAGAAAGATGCCTACCAAGGTGAAACGTACGTTCTATAAAGCAACTATTAGACCTAGACCTAGTGACCTACTATGTTATATGGTAGTGAATGTTGGGCTGCTAAAGTTCAAACGTTTCTACAAGATGAGTGTTGTAGAAATACGAATGCTAAGACAGATGTGCGGTCACACAAGATTAGATAAGATAAAAATGGCCACATTTGTAGAAGGTGCAAGTAGCACACATTGAGGATAAAATAAGAAGATGTCACTTGAGATGGTTTGGTCATGTCCTGTGTCGACCTACAGAATTCCCGGTCCTTAGGTGTGAAACCGTAGTAGTGGAAGGTGTAAAAATAGGATGGGGTAGAGGTAAAATCATATGGAAGGAAGTTATCCCCAAAGACCTACAAATCCTTGGAATCGATGTCGACTTAACTAAAGATAGGGCACAAAGGAAAAGAAAAATCTATATAGGTGATACCTACTAGTTGAGAATAGGTTTTAGACTTGACAAAGAGCTTATATTATCATCATTATTATTATTCCTATTATTTATACATATTTATCTTTTTTTACTTATACTTTTATTTTATTTTGGTAATAATGATGATGAGTTGAGCTAAATGAAAGGGACGAGGATTCATATCACCCACCCCAACTTGCTAGGATTGAGGCGTAGTTGTTGTTATTGATGTTGTTGCATATAAATATAAATTATATATATATATATATATATATTCAAGGAAATAATCATTATGCTAGTAACAGAGAAATCTATCTGGTTAAACCCATATGACATTTTCAACCAGTGATACTTTCTTGCTGGAATAAATCACAAATTAAATTCATAAAGAAAAAAAAAACATCAGTCTCCCTGAAGTATCTACAACCTCTGTGCATCTTTGAATTTCTGCTTTAAAAACTTACAGGAAAACAAGAAACCATGCTCCTCTATCCAAAATCCTGTTTTCAGTTATCCAGATACAGAGTGCCACTATCCAAACCAGACGATGAGAAAATTTATTGTTCGACCTTGGGCTTATCAGCATTGAAACATACACCTCCATTGGATTGAACATTGACTGGTGTAAAAATAACAGTGTTCTAATCATACAAACAAATGAAACTTTTAGCCAAAATTATCCCTTATGTTTAGGGATAGGCTTAACTTTGTCCTCTAAATATAACCCTAAGCACTATTTGTCCTTTAAGTTTGTAAAACTTGAGCACATTTAGTCTCACAAACAAAGAAAATCCACTTCCGTTAGAAAACTAACAGCAGAGCACACTGTGATCTGCACGTGATGCTTAATAACCCATAAATCGTCGATATCCATCCCTTTTGAAGGACCCTTCTTCTCGAATTAACCTTTGCATATCTGTTACAACAGTAAAAAATCCCTAGCCTTCTTGATTTATATTCAAGTCTTTAATACTTTGGTTCATCCTAGCAATGATTATTAGGAGCAGTGGCAGAACAAATCCTAGTTATAGTGAGTGCTAAAAGTCGTAATTCAGTTTCAGGCAAAACTACTTCAGCGACTTCTCCTACAAGTCAATATAGCTTTTGATATTTAATTTTCTAGTTCTAGTTGTGGTTTTGGCTCTTCATTTTGCCAAACTCATGTGTCAATTGGAATTTTTTTGTTGATGCTCTCATTTACCCTCTTTACATTTTCCTTTTACTACAAAACACACTGCTTTCATTTTCTTTTCCCCGTCTTACGGCCAAAATCAGATCTTTGCAAGTTATGCTGAAAATAATGTTGTGGTTGGAGTTTAATGTTTGGGACATGTGAAGCGAGAACTAATTTCTGGACAAACCAGTAAATTTGTGCATTTCTTATAACCTCTATAAGAAGACTCATTGAAGTCTAGTGCTGTTAACGGAGAAAAATACATGCGGAGTTTAGCATGACAGTTTTCTAACAGATTTGGTGCTTTCTGTTGGTGAGACTAAATGTGCTCAAGGTTATATTTAAAGGACAAAGTTAAGCTTACCCCAAAAGATAAGGGATAATATTGGCTAAAAACTCCAAACAAATGCAACTATTTCAAAAGAAAAGTTTGTTTGCCCCTCTGTTCAATAACCACTTAGTGATACTTTTTAACTGTCATCAAACAAAAATTCACAAGTAACCAGACAATCAAAATGACCTGCAAGATATAACTCATTATCCTTAAATTTTGAACAGTTTAACATGCACCAAAACAGAGAAGACGTGTAAAAAAAGATATAACTAGGAATGGGTTCTCATCTAAATAATTGACACCAAAAAGAAGCATTACATATATTCAACTTTCCTTCCCTGAACACTTAGAAGAAATATTAAATTCACCAAAAATGAAGCCAACATGACAAAGGTTGCATATTGTAAAGTTAAAAGATTTTCTGTTTAACCGTAGTCCGTAGATGTATCTCATACTTCACCTGTGCATTTCATTAGATATATTTTTTTTTCATATAACGGTGGTGTTCGGACAAACTTGCACGCACCTCAACTATTCCACCGGGCAACCTCCAACCATCTCTTCCCACTTCAATGACCACTAGGCCACATCCTTAGGTGCATTTTGTTAGAGACATGAATTAGACTTGTTTTAACAAAATGGTGCACTAAGGCGGTGCTTCAAAAACGAAATGTGCACAAAAAAGGCAAGGCTCATGGAACTGGAAATAAAGAGAGAGAAGTGAAGCGCACGCATCTTTGACGTGTAGTGCACAATTCATGGAAGCTTAAAAATACCAAACGCATATGACATAGTATTAAAATTAATCAAATTTCAACTAAAATAACTAATTTCAGCATTCACTACACAATAATATTGATATTAATCCACCTCCTCAAAGATAAGATTCGAAGAATAGACATCTCCTCATTGGGATCACTTTGTGAAGCACACACTTCTCTTCGCCCATGAAGCAATAACCCATAATAACACTGCACTAAGGAGTCATCTGTTATGCTATTTATGTTTATGGGAGCAAAATGCTTCTAGATTCAGTTTATATGCCTCTTTCCGTGGACATTCAAGAATGCACAGTGTCTAGGTCAAATAAAAACCACAGTTATTAAAAGAAGAAAAAAACAGAACATGACCTTACAGGAATCATCTACTTAACAAAAAGATACATATTCATCCAACATCAAATGCAAAGTACCCAAGTATATCACATGGAAATGTATTTGTTTTCCTTCACAAATACGGAGAAGGGAAAGAGGGTAAAAAGGTACCTGTTGATTAATCGGGGCTCCACCGTAGGCCACGACCACTCTAACACCAGTCTGATATGAGAATTTTTTAGCTTCCTCATGTATCTACATGTAAATGCAGCATACAACTGGAATTAACAAACCTAAAGGTTTTCAAGGAAAAAAGGGATAGAAAGATCAAGAATGCATTTCACAAAACTGATCTAGTACCATACCTACCTGCATTGAGAGCTCTCTTGTTGGTGAGAGAATAAGAGCAAGGGGAAACACTGTCCGCACCCCACGAGGCCGTTGCGAAAAATCCCCCCTCATGATTCCACTAATAATAGGGAAACAAAATGCAGCTGTCTTGCCGGATCCAGTCTGGGCACAGGCCATGAGATCTCGCCCTGCTAAGGAGATGGGAATTGCATAACGCTGGACAGGAGTCGGCTTAACATATTTGCACCTCCTAATATTCAAGTTAACGGCCTCCCCTAAATCTATCTCTGCAAATGTGTTAACAGGAGGTGGCACATTTTCTCCACTTGTTTCCACTGGAATATCCTCATAAGCATCAAAATTGATACCACTATTCTCCTGATCAAATGATTGCTCCAAGTCCACATCTGCATCATTACCAAAAGGATTCACTTCCCGCTCTCTACCCCAACCACCGCCTCTGCCACCCCAACCACCTCCGCTGCGGCCGCCACCGCTATAACCTTGGCGTCCGTAATCCGGTCTAGAACCAACCCATCGAGACCCACTAGTTGGTCCATTGAATCCTGAACGATCATTACCAGACGGTGGACCACCCGGTGATGGAGCTGGAGGCTCCGCTCCCATTGGTTTGTTGCGAAGATGTGGTGGGACATAAGATGATCTCCTTGTAGAAGCAGAAGCTCCACTCCCACCACTAGGCCCAACATTATCAGTAGCTGTATTCTCAACAGAATCTGCCCACGAGTTCCTCATTATCAAAATTTTCCTTTTTCTCCTAATACACACAGCTCAAAATCCTAATCCCCAAACCTAAAGCTGACCCTGATAACCAGAAAATTTCAGAGAACTTATTCTCAAAAAAAATCTGCTTAGAATGTAACAGCAGTCCAAAACCTGACCAAAAGAAACACTTAACACTATGATTAACACTACAAAACCAAACACAATCCAAAATGAATAGCTCTAAAGAAGGATCTAGGATTTGAACTTTATGGGTTTGTGATGCCACTGAATCCACCAACCATTTGAGTTACTTGGTTTGAATTTAAATACTTGTGCATGTTTAGTAGATTTTTCAGCACATATACAGAGTATGAGCCAAAGCTACTGTTTTGGCTGAACCAGTAGTTATATGTTACATCAGCTATTTGACATGGCATCATCTGCAAAAGAAACTCAAAAATTCGACCTACCCATATGCGGCAGAATCAGATTAAGCTAACACATGAACACACAAAAAAACTGAAATCATGAATGCATCAGCAAAAGCAATGCGTTAATAGAACAAAAACAGAATGAAAATACCTAAAACATAAACAGAATGAAAACATCTACAAAATGTAACGCCTTAAAAATACAGGAATGAGATCAAATCAAGTATTAACACACAAAACAAACACAGAGAGCCACATATATATATGGAGAAAGAGAAGAAAAAAGCAAACCTTGTAGAGAGAGAGAAAGAAGGGTGGTGGGCTGAATGAATGGAGAAAATAGAGAGAAACCCTAGATAGGGCTGACGAAGAAAAAGGAAGAATAAGAATTTTCGGACACAGAAGCAAAACAATCGGAGAGATGCTTTTTTTTGTGAGATTGGATTTCAGATTGACGGCTTATAATAACCTTAAGGAGACCCCTTTTGTCCTTGTAAGATTCAGATTATTTTGCATATGCTTAATATGGTCTGTGTATGTATAGTGTCTACAAAGTCTTACCCGTTTCAAACTTTTCAACTACCCTTGTGGTTGTATACTCGTGGTTTTTCTTTACTTTTCTTTTCCGTTCCTTTACTTTAACTTCGATATCGTTTTGTTTTAATTTTGTCATGGGATCCTAATTTCACTTTTACCTCTTATATTATATTTGATCAAGGTTTGGCGGAGTAATTCTTAATTTGGAAGCTTTAAATTGGAAGAGTTGATCAATATTTTATTTTTATGTAAACGAGTCTAGACCGGATTATTTTGGTCTTGTACGTATGTTTAGTACGGGCCTAAGGTGGCCCGGGTTGATTCGACGCTTCTATTCGAAAGTTGGAATATTGAACTTAAGAAAATTTGAAGAATTTGGTGTGATGCGTGATTCTTAATTTTAATGTTATTGTTCGTATTTTGAGGTCGTGGATAAGTTCGGGGAAGGTATACATACTAGTTAGTATGTTTGGACGGGTCCCGAGGGGTTGCGGTGTGTTTCGGATCACTTTGAGATTGCTAGTTCTTGCTGGTGTCAGGTGTTTATCACGATCACGAGGGAAGGCTCACGTTCGTGAAGAAGAGAGTAGACAGGAGGATTTTGTTCTTCACTTTTGTGAAGAGGTGGTATGTGTTCGCGAAGTAGGGAGTGGTCGGAGTAGATTTGGCCTTCGTGTTCATGAAGTGCTTCTCACATTCGCATAGGAGGATGAGCATATGGCCTTCGCGTTCGCATGGGACATGTTGTGTTTGCAAAGAAGGGCCTTCATGAGACTGAAGTTTGTGTTTCGCAAACGCGAGGTTAAGGTCGCGTTCGCGAAGGGTAATGCTGTCAGAGGTATTTTATGTCCAGAATTCAGTAATGCTCATTTTCACTATTTTGAGTTTTGGAGATCGTGAAGAGACGATTTTGGAGATGGATTTCACCCATATTTTGAGGATAAGTAATTTCTACTTGAATTTAATTATATATCTTGATTCCCCATAGATTTATACACCTTAAACATAGAATTTTAAAGTAAAATTTGGGAATTTTATCTACAACTTAAGGAAATATATTTTAAGATTTTGAACACCAATTTGACCTCGGATTCAGAATATAATCACATATTTGGACTCGTGAGATTATGGGTCAGTGGGCTTTGGTCTTGGACTCGGGTTTTGACCCCGTGAGTCGGGGTTAACTTTTTGAGATTTGATTAAAGAACAAAACTTTATTGTTTGAAGTTGATTTTTATAGCTTTATTTGATCTTATTGAGTATTATTGGGCCAGATTTGAGCCGGTTGGAGATGATTTTTAAAGGAAAAACTTTTTTGAAAGATTCTTTTGGCTTGCAAAAAGTAAGTATCTCGCTTACCTCGACTTGAGGGATTATTTTTCTAAAAATGAAATTATTTGCTATATGTTATATGTTTTGGGAGTGATGTATATGCGAGGTGACGAGTGTATAAGCGGATACTGAGATTATATCATGTCGAGGTTGGATTTTACACTTCTTTATGCTTTGATTGGATATGTGATCTTCTTGACTCTTTATTTGATATATATGACTTTGTGGCACAATTATTCGTGCTTAGAGATTATGTTTTATCTTATGACATCTTATTTGGGCCATGTGAGCTATTTTTGAGATTTGTTGATATACTTGATTCGGCCATAGTGACATGTGATATTATTAACATATTCGCACATGTTATTCTTGTGATATGCCTTAAAATATTATGACTACTTGAACTTCTCTATTCATGTTAAAGATCATGTTTAGTCTTTTGATGCTTAATTAGACGTGAAAGTTATTTGGATTATGATATTTTAGACTTCAATACCACACAAGAGGGGGAGGGGGGATGATTTGTGTGGTACCCAATTTTCGCTTAACTTTATTATAGAAGGACCTGCTCTTCTATGTGTTCCAACTACTACTGTTGCGGAATAATAAATACAAAAAATAAAGAACACAAAGATTTTATGTGGAAAACACCTGGCTCAAAAGGTAAAAAAACCATGACCTACCTTCTAGCAGGATTTTCCCAAACTCTCTACTAAAATCACTGAGCCAAAACTGCATTTACAAAAACTCTTTTGTAAACCTAGGATTAACTCTAATCCCGATGTGGTACACAACCTCAACTGTTGTGACAACTTCAAGTTAACTATAACTTGAAAACTCTAAGTACCTAATACAATTGCTTCTATATAAGCTGAAAGGTACAATGTAAAATCACCTACTACAATTGATCTAGAATAAAATATAGACACTTGGAACTGGTTCTTCTATCTGGTTCAAGTAGCTTCGGGATTGCACGCTTGAATCACACATAAATTACTTGCAAAAACCTTGCTATTTTGCCCTCAATTCACGTTTAACTTTTGCTTATGTGCATTACCTGTAAAATAGAACAATACTAATATTTAAGGAGTTAGCAATTAGAGATTTACTAGGATAAAGATGCTACTCTTCCATGGTGGAAGAGTTCTAGTTGATCTCATACTCTAACTCTATCCTTTTCCTAAACCGTGTTCTCTTTGTGTAAGGAGTCTTTCTCCTTATCCAATATGCAACCTTTTCAATCATGATCAGGAGACACTACTTTTGATAAGTTAGGTTTATCTCCTTCACGTGCATCTCACATGTTTGGGTTGATCACAACTGTGTTTCACAAGATGGACCTGGTTCATGTCTGAGTTCCTTTATCAGTCTTCAAAACTTTACCTTTACTTAGGACAACAGATTATAGATTAGGTGTTGCGACCGTAGTCATACGTTATACCTAGGCGTACATCATGCCTAGAAATCATCTCTTGTACTCATGCATGCATCCCTGTAGGGTTACTTTTCTTCCCATGTGCATTATACATGCTTATCTTTTATTTATATGCATGCAACTCTACATATTATTCTCTTATATGGACTAGGGTTATGATACGTGAGTTGCCAGTGCAGTTTAGATGATTATGACACGAAATTTCTACCGTGTGGTTATTGCGATATTATTAGTAAGCATGGAATGTGAGTCATCCGTGTGATTGGTATGTTAAGGCACGTGAGTTGCCCGTGCGAGCAAATATTATTATTAACATATGAGTTTTCTGTACGATACGTGAGTTATTCGTGCGAGTGATATTATTATTGGCATGTGAATTGTCAGTGCATCACGTGAGTTGTCCGTACAATGCTTGGATTTGAATCTGTCCCTTTGGAGTCAGGTGATCACTTTTTGTACCTTAAGCCCCGAGAGCATAGTATGTGTGCGGTGTGTATGTATAGATGTTGATTTTTCAAAAAGGATTGATTCTTGAGCATGCATTGACATCCTAGACTCGTGCAGAAACATGCATACATATAATTGACATATGTATAGTCATGTATTTTCATATGCATGAGGCTTGTTAGCTAATGGTTGGACACTTGGAGAGTGTCGGGTTTGATGCAATTGTCGAGTTATATACTGACACTTTGTCTCATGCTAGATTCATATAAATATTATTTGGAATTTTTTTAAGAAATTGGATCTTTATCATGCATTGTATATGGCGAAATCGGAGGGTCCAATTTCTCGTCATTAAGGCATTTCATGGGATCATCTCGAGACCTCGAGGCTGCGAGGTTACGATCGAGACTCCTCCCTCGAGGTTCGTCGGCAATCGGTCTTATGATAATGTCAACCACGGCCACGGCCACGGCGGAAACGGGGAGTTCCCAAGGCACGTGGCTAGGACTAACGAAGCATAGAGAGATACTCTAAGACCCGAGTGAGGATGTCATCTAGTTGTCACGTCTCTGTACCTTTGTAGTTAATGTATTTTGTACTATATTGAAATTTTTCCTCCTATATAAAGGGGATCCTTGACACTTTGTAACTCTCTGTTGCCCCAATTGCTCCGCAAGAAATATACAAAAAACATTCTCTTTGCTCTCTCATACACTCTCTTGATATTATTGCTTTCATTTATTATCTTCATATTTGTTCATCATTTATTGCTCATCATTGGCCATAAAGAGCCTTCGTCAATTATTTCATAATTGTTAGCCCTACCCCGATCACCCACGATAGCTCGAGTCCGAGCCCTGGGATCGACCTCGAGGCCCCAAATCGATAGGCTTGAGGCCCCAAATAGCTAACTTAGCGATTTGATTACAACTCTCTCCTTAACTATTTTTTCGCCCCTAAATTTCATATACTTAGCATCAACTGCTTAACAAACTAGCATAAAAATAGATCACGTATTTTTAGAGTCCCATCAACAAATTTAATTGTTATTACCATTTTTAGGTAAATAGTTTGATGCTCACCATGGGGATAAAAATAATAATGATTATTTTGTTGCTGGTTTTACTACATAACGCAAGTTATCTTTCACGCTTTTTCTTGTCCAAGATCTTCGATTTCAGGTCAAAATGTCTAACTCGGCAAATGGATATGAAAATAACAATCTTGAGGACCATGGGGAAAATGGTGTGGCTGTTCCAGGTGTTGTTGTGCCACCACAAAACCCTGGGAATGCACCAGAGCCAATCCCATGGACACGGTCACGCGACGCCCAGCGCATCCACATAAGCTCCCACACTGACAGGAGCGTGCACCAAGGGGATCAACAAGAAGCACAGAAAATCCCAACTAGAGAAGAATGTAAGGTTAGCCTTCATGTTATTTTTGAAATTTTACAGGCACAACAGCTAGCTATTGCTTAGCTGCAAAGTCACCAGAAAACTCCTAGCACGGTATCACCGGGGACAGCTCCCCCAGCCGAATAGGTATCTGAGAGATTGAGCAATAACGGGTCGATAGCCGACCCTGTCATCGTAAAAATGCTCGAGGATCTCACCAAAAAGATCAAATCGGACGAGAAATGATAGAAGCCAACGACAAAAAGGTCGAAACCTACAACTCCAAGGTTGATCAAATCCCGGGCGCACCCTCGGTCCTGAAAGGTGTGGATTCGGAGAAGTTCATATAAAGGCCGCTCCC